TGGTCTTTAAGTAAGGTCCCTGAGAAAATGCAATCTGTTACGTAGCATTTGGCCAAATTCTACAAATGATACTCAAACTGAGTATCAGCATTTGTTCAAATTCTACAATAACGTACACAGGTTATTAAACTAGTGAATAAAGTAAAGTCAAAATGAGAGCTAACGAAACTACATGGTCATAAAAACATGTACTATTATCTAGGTAGAGATAACTACTAAAGAAGGGGAAAAAACAGCTACAGAAGGAAGTCGGGTAGATGATTTGGTAGCCAGTTGGAAACTTGGACCAGTTTCAGAAAACTCTGTTCACCCATTTTATTTTCAACCTTCTAGCTAATGATTACTTTGTTTATAGTACAAGGACAATTTGGAAATACTAAAAACTCAGTATCTTTCTAAAACCTATATTCTTCACAATATATAAAGTAAAATTACACTACTATAAGAAAGCCTCGCCTCGGTTAGCATGCCAAGATACACCAACCATAATGAAGAGATCACCTTCTACACTACTTGAACAGCTTCAAGTCATGATAATTGCAGTATATTACAAATGCCTGATGCTCTTGCAAAATTCAAATCTTTTCAAAATACAAAAAAATGAACACCTGATGTATCTTCCTTCACTATTCTCACACAAACCTTGAAACAATAACTTCCATCTTCATAAACGTGACAATAGTAAAAATGCGTCTTCCCAGAGTCCCAATTGATGACCTACAAGACAAAAGATGATGGATTGAAAGTTCATAAATATTACTTGTATCATTTTGTCATATTATGCTCTAACCTAACGTTGTTGGTTAATTAACTTTTCAGTAAATCAACACTTTCACTTTTCATATAGAACTCTGGACCATAATATAATTCAAAGTTTAGAAAAGGGAGAGCAAAAGGGATTGACCAAAAAAAGGAAGCATGCAGAAGAAATGCCTGCCAATTATGACTCTCAACGAGAAAGGTGGCTCTAACAGGGAAAAGGCAGGACAATCATATACAAAATAAAACTAATATCAGAAAGACTGAATGTGATTTTAACCTCTATTCTATCTGACGGAGCACATAACTGTTTTCCACACATATCCCAAATGCAAGACTCGTAAACCCCCATTGGGAGATTTTTCATTTCTAAAATCTTATTGGCATTTTCGGTAGTTATAACCTCTTCCAACTTGCTCCTGCAAATAGAACTGGCTCAGTTAAAGAAATGGCCAACAATAGACCAGACTTGACATGTGGATGAAGAACAGGACTAGCCTCCCAATGTAAGAGTACAAGAGAAAGAACTTTCTGAACTCAAGTTGACTAAGGACCGTCAACTGGTAGCTGATTTCATTGAGGACTTTAAAATGATAACCCATATCGTGGGTGCTTGTGCTCTCTTCAACGCCAGGTTCACAACAAAACATTGACTTGTGAGTAGTCTGTGAAGGCCTTGCACTCTCGGGATGCGGTAAGGGAGAGCTCATATTCAGCTTTGACATCGGAGAACAAGGGCTTTCATCACCTGCATTGCAGTACAAACGTCCAAGCCCATCATGAATCATAGGGACAACAAATTAGTAAAATGAATGCAACAAAAATTCGAGGAAAAGAATAAACTATTAAAAAATACAGTCTCGTTAATACTTATTCTCTTGTCTAGAAGCTCACTTACATTAAGCAACAGATATTTTCTTGGGGAAGAAAAAGCTGATCATGGTCATAAGGACAACCACTAGCGCCGCAAACGGTTTTTTTTTCTTGGGGGTTGTTTTTTGTGGTGCTTTTGTGTTTGGGGGTTGGGGGTTGTTGTTAGGGGGGGGGGGGGGGGATGAAGAAAGAAAGCCAACGTTGGATTCAAATACATAATAATGTATATCAATGAAAGTTTTCAAAATGTAGGTTGAAAAGAAAGACATGCATAAAAGTTTTTCTAATACATTTGAACTTCGAAATCAACAACTCAGCAAAGAGAGGAAGTTGTAAGCATAAGCTATTTTACTGATATATCGAAAGTACTAAGAAAAATAACAAACACCACCCCAAAATTAAAATCAAAGCTCAGATATTTCTGGTACGAGAAAAGATGGAGGTGCAATGCATTGAAAAAATTCTTTGCGACAAAGAACAAAAAGAAAAACAGTCCAGTTGAATAATTGCAACGGCAAGAAGGACCAACCAAAACACCCGCAGTAGTAAATCAACACTCCAGCGAGCAGTAAATTATGGAAGAACTGAAGTAGTGGGAGTAAGAAGAAAAGGAGGTACTCGTACATTGGGAAAAACAAGTGGGAGGAGGCGGAGGAAAATGCAGAGCACGCTTAGGAGGGGAAGAGCTGGCGTGAAGTTGGGGTGGTGGCGTGCGCGGGGAGGGAGTAGAAGAGGACTGGCGAAAGGGACTTTGAGGGCTGTCGGTGAACCAGGTAATGTAGCGACTGAGAGTAGTCCGGATGGCCTCCTCGGAGTAATAAATCCTCCTCACAATCTCGTAAGCTTTTTCTTCGCCAATATCAAAAAGCCTCTGGCGAGCATAATGATCAGGCGGCGGCTGCTGCTTTTCTATGCAGATCTGCTCGATCATTCTTTCCACCGGTTCTGAAAGTGAAACCGACCCTCGACGTTGAGTTTGAAGAGAAGATCCCATTATTGCTGCCTTGGAGGTAGCGGGTGTGTGGAGAAAAGTGGTGGGCTGTGGAGGATGATAATCTCCCATTCTTCGCAGGTGCTTTGTACTTGTAATACTACACCTGTGAAGAGGAGGAAACCGGGAAATGGAAGTGGCGGGTGTTGTCTTGGGAAGTGCGCAGTGGGAACTGACTTGCTATCGTCGTTACGCTACGCAGCAGTAGTAGTAGTCCATAGCTGTCGCTGCTTTCTAGTCTATAAGGTATAAACTCTGACTTCTGAGAAAGAGAGAGAGAGAGAGAGGAGACAAAAGGGGAAGGAGAGGAAGATTCCCGCGCAAATTAAAGGGCGGTTGATTCTTCTCGATTAGCTTCAGTCCGAAGGAAGCCGGTCGGATTGTCAAACGGTTCGGGCGCTAGGAGTTTGGAGCCCCGACCTAAACCACCAATTTTATAATTGGAGGAGAATTTCGCACCCAAAAAAAAAAAAAGAAGAAAAAATGGATGGGAATATTTATCTGAGGCCTAAACAAACAAATCAGTTTAGGCACAATTTATCTGAGGGTAAGTGTTAGGAATTTCAGATTAATTTTACTGTCCGACACTTACCGATGCATGGAATTCATCAAGAGAAAAAAAATTTTAAAAAAAAAGAGAAAACTATATTCAGATCCCAGTGTGCATTATATAGAAGATCTACATTGCACTTTGTTTGGAAATTGGGGATTATTTGTAAAATTTTATCTCATCAACATATTTTTTAATTATATTTTTATTTCATCTAATAAAAAGTGTGTTGCAATACTATTATTAAAAAAAATTATTGCAAAGAATTTACTATTCAAACTGTACTGTTCGGCGTGTGAATCCCATTAACCACCTTATTGGTAGGCCTACTGTGTATCCATGGATTTTTTTTTCACCTTTTCATTCTTCCTTTTTTTTTTTTCCCTTTGACAACCTCCTTAATTTGCTCAAATCCGAAGATATCCATTGATTTTTGAATTTTAATGGTAAAGATGCTGCTGCAAAAATTTTGCTTATGGCTAGTTTGGGAGGAAGGAAATGAATTGAAAAGGATTATAAAAACTTTTTCCATTGTTTGAGAGCAAAAATGAGAAGGAAAAGAAAATATTTGAAAATATTTCACTTTCCTCTGTGTTTTGGAAAACTTTCTGTCCAAAGTAGGGTGGAAAAGGAAGGGAAGCTTAAGTAAAATTTTTAATATGATAATATTGCCCTTGAAATTATGATACAAAAAATTTTAATTTCCGATTTGATGAGTCTCTCAACTTACTTAATTCATATTTATTTACAAAAAAAATAAATTTGTGAAGTAATTTATTTGAGTATTTTTTTCAATTGTTTTTAACTTCCAAAATAAAAGAAATTTTTTACCTTCTCTTCTTTGCTTAAAACTCCCAAACAACTTAAATAGGAGCTTGAATCCTTTTCCGTCTTTTCTTTTATTTTCTAACTTCTCTTTTCTCTTCTTTTCTTTTCTATTCTAAACTCCCAAACTAAGCTAATAATTAGTACTAATTTCCCGGTACAGTACAAGGAAGGACTGATTTAAGGAAAGCAAATCTAAAAGCACATGGATGTGCTTTTCGTAATTATAAGTTGCTGCCCTCGAGATCATAGCTAACTGCCGACCCCACATACCGCCCCCGGGGGCAGCGGAAAAAGAAAAACGTCCCGTACCCGTGGGAACGGAATATTAATGCATGATCACTTTTTACTTTTGAGTGACATTTGAGGAAAATATCTACCGACATGTCTCATCGAGGGGTAACATCATAAACTGGGGGAGTTTTGTCTGTTTTCCTTTTTGGCCTTTCTTCTTCCTCAGATGAATGAATGATTTTTCGTGCCATTAGGCCTTTGGCCAGGCCTGGTAATCACCACCAACCAACCCTTGTCTACCGTTAAAAATCTATCACAGTATGGGGCGATCTTCATTGGCCATAGATAAAAAAAAACTTTGCATAAGCCGATTATTCTTTGGATTTCACCTAAAAGGAGACGAAAGATTACAATTTTTCTCAAAAAAGTTATTATATATTTTTTTGAACACATTTTTACTTCATATGTATCAGATCGTTATAATAATTTTTTTATAAAAAATTCAAAAAATATAATCCAGACGGGGCTGAGGTAAATATCGCGTTTGAGTGAGGTGAATATCCAATACATCATAAACATACTCCTTTTTTATTCTATAATTATGTCCTTTAGATGCCTAGAGGGAAATATATTTTCTGATTTTAGACATGGAGTTTTTAATGTTTCTGTTTCCTTTTGCATTTAGATTATAAACTTTTTAAATAATCCAAGAAAAAGAGAGTTAAAATTCAAAGTTATTTTTTGATAATTAATTTTAATCATTCTACATATAGGGAAGTCGAGCGCACCACTGACATTAACATAAATATTTACACGCTTACAAACTTCAAAAAAACAAAAAAGAAGAAGCCAAAAAAAAAAAAAAAAATTAGTTGCAGAACGGGGGCTAAAATAAAGCATTCCGGAGGACTGATGGTACAACCAGCATTGGATATTCGTTGGTGCTGGTATTTGTGGCATGAAGGTTGCAGAGAGCAGAACCCGCCACTCTCCAAGCAAAACTGCATTTGCTAATACATCCCCGACCGATGGCATGATCATAGCTCACATGGTAGATGGCAAGCGCCTCGTTATTGATTTCTTCCATCTTCTTCTTACTTTCCTGCAACTCTGCCGCTTCATACAGCAACTACATGAGCAAAAAATCTTCATTTCAGCCAACCATTCAATCCTCTATCCTATCCATTTCGCTAGGAGTAATTATTCACTGACCTCCTTGTATTTCTTGATCACTCTGTCTGCGGCCTTGTTCTTCAGGCCGTCGTCGGCGGGATTTTGTTCCAATGCGTCTCGCATCTCATACCGGTAATCATCGTACCTCGCCATCCACATGCTCAAGTACTCTTCAGGGATGCGTGAATTGAAACAAGGCAGTTTCCATATTTCTAGCAGAAAATAATATAATATAATATAATATGCCCAAATGATAGATGCTACTTCAATTTCTTCTTCTAGTCAAGAAACAAAGAAAATAGAAAATGTAGGAGCGAAGACGGTCACAAACCCACAATTCTCAACATGACATTTCACTATAAAGTGTTTCATCAACCTAAACATCTGGAGTGTATATTTTTGCACGACCTTTTTACTTCGATTAATACCAATTTTTACCTCCAATAGAGCGCCTTTCAGATTGAAACTGCTCAGTCTGATCGAAGATATCCCCCAGGATGGATGTAGAATGGTAGCTGTTTCCTTTTCCCATATAGTGCGGATAACTTTTTGCTATCAGGTCGCTGGGAACATTTACCTGTTTCAGAAGAGCAGGAGGGATACGCTGAGGAAAATGAATGTCGGTGGACAGACTAACAATCCCTCGTCAGATAATAATTATTCTACTCCCCTTCAAAGGAGACGAGCAACAAAAAAAAAAAAAAAATAAGTGTATGATATTATCTACCACCAAGTATTTGTCTAAACCCCATCTGCCAATTATTTGTACGTAAAGTTGCATGTAGGATAAGCACATAAAAACATGTAAATGGAAGCCAAAACATCTTCTTCACTGAAGCAAAGAAAAGTGGTCGAACGCTCAATTCACCATTTGATTGTTGTACTTGGGAACTGGCATTTTTTGGTATCACGACAAGCCAAACATGGGACCAGAGCTTTGAAAGGGTTGCCCATTCACATGAAATGGGTGCACCTAACCAAAGCATTGAACTTAGAAGTGTGTAATTCCGCGATCAAATTCCATGAGAAAAGGCATGTCAAGATCATAAAAAATTAAGAAAGCTATCCACAAGGCCAAAACACGTTGAATAAAAATGCCAAGAAAATTCAAGTGCTGAAGCTTACCTTCTTTCCGCTTTTGGGTGCATCTAATGCATCATAATATATGTCAACCAATTTAAGTATCTGTTGCCTAAGACCATCTGTGTCACCAGCATTTTCATCCCGAAGTACCAAAAGACGGTCCATGAATGCGAGCCAGCTATGAGCAGCAACAGCCATGTTAAAGCTGAAACAGCAAATCATTTGAACCATTCACAACATACAAACATCACATAATGAGCCAGCAAACATAACGCGCGATTTAACTCAAAAAAAAAAGTCATAGGAGTAACGAACAATGTACATGGTACAACTATAGATGCTCAAGGAGTGCATCTTTAACTAGCGGCACAGATTAGTGCATCCAATGGTCTCCTGGTTCATACTCAACAGAAAACTTTGCTCCAAACAAGTAACTCATATCCTTTCGGTAATACCACAGATCTAGGTACAGGCATCTACTATAAAGGTATCAGATTTGAGATTGTTGAAAGTTTTAATTACGTCTACCTCTGTATGTCTTTATAATGAGCACGCAGCCTGCATACCTTTGCTTCCGCTTCTCTAGAGAGAGTCGAAAAAGCTCATATTCTAATGCTTCAGCTGAAAAATCACTGGGCTTCTTGTTTTCTGCTGGTGGAGATGAATACACTCGAGTCCATGGTTCACTGGCTCTAAAGTACTTCAAAAGCTGAAATATAAAAAGTGGTGGACAAACTTCAACAACTTCTGTCATATCCAGAAGAGTACGAACTATAGTATTATCATTAAGACAAGGAAGCTCATAAGTAGATGTAGACCAGATGAAATATAAAGAGAGAGGCAGATCCTTCGACAAAAATGCAATTTCCTGGATCCACGAAAAGTTTGCAATTAAAGCATAATGTCCGTCGAGTAAAAAAACTATCAACATGAGCTTTAACCACAATACTTGGCCTCATGATTTTTTATTTTTTAGAAAAAAGGAAGAAAAGAAGCCAACGGATTGATAGCTTGGCTACTTCTAAACAGCCACCATATTGTTTACATATCTATCACCCAAATATTGTAGTGCTCTCTCTATCTGTCTCTTTGTCTCTGTCTGAAAAATTCAACACAGACTAAATCATCACATTAAGCACATCAGCTCCATAATAAGCAGTCAAAAAGTGAAGTGTATCTTGATATAAGGGATAGGTTTAAGGGCTTATATCAGTACCAACCTGCGGGTTTCTGGAAACCCAATACATATCTCCATCAAAATCTCCATTGGCAATTTCATTTGCTACTGATCTCTGTCCTTTGGTGGAGAAAAATATACCAAATTTGGCATTGCCAATTACATCTTCCAACTCCTTCACATATACTGCTTCAAGGACATGTACGTCACCAAAGTGGAGACCAGGATTTCTGTATACTAGTACCTTTCCTGATATTTGCCCATTCTCCCTAATAGACAGGAATATACATGTTAACATTCAGATAAGATGCTACATAACTGCAAAAACACACTTCTTGATTATGGTACAAAATAGACGAACAATATCAGTAGAGGAGAAAACAAGAAGTTAAAAACTCAACCAGATTATCGAAAAAGATATGAAATGCTTGCAAGGACAATTCCTCACTCCCATGAATGACACCTACAAAATGTGCCTGAATTGTAAAATGCGCAACTAACAAGAAACCAAGTAGTCCACATACAAGATCACACAGACTTCATTAGCTTTTAACAGGCCCGTTGGATCAGCTGTTCCCATCACGTAAAAGCTTTCACTAATGGGGAGCTTTCCTTCTTTAAGTGATTTCCTCTCAAAATTTGCCAGTTTAGCTAAACGATCCTGAAGGTGAGGCTCACTGAGAGGCACTCCAGCTAATATCATTCTTGCGGTAGTCCAACCATCATCCATGTCTCCATTTCGGATAGAAACTGCAACATCAATTGCCCCCAAGAGAAGTACTTTTCAATGTCGTTTGTATAAAGGTTTTTTTTTTTTTTTTTTTTTTTTTTCAAAATTTGGCAATTGGTGGCGACTGTTGAAGTAAATTAACATAAAAAAAATTCTGAGTGGAACAACTATTTGAAAGACAACATCATCCATCTTTGGCCAAGAGAGTTTTATAAATCCTCATCAATAAAAGGAGAGCATGTAAAATGATTTGTCCTCTAAAGCAAATACGCAGATAAGATTCAGATCTGCAATACCTTTAAGCGCTGCGTGCAAGTTTGTAAATAATGCTTGCGTCTCTTCAAGAACAGTTCTCAAAATATCCAGGAAAAAGTTTCTTGGCACTCCTCCATAGCTCAAAAGAGCAATCAAATTTTTCGATAGCTGACATCTCCTTGGTTTATGGCTGAATTATGAAAAAAAAAAGTTTCATGATCACTAATCAAACTTGTAAGCAGATGCATCACATTGCATTGTTCTCTCTTCAATCTTTAAATTGCAGTTTAACACCTTTAAGTAGCAAGCAAAGCTGCTTGCAACCTACGTATGGATAAGACATAAGAGTTGATTAATGTAAAACATTGACTTAATTAAAACAGTCAGATAAATCATAACCTTGTCAGCTGCAGCAAACTAAAGCTTAGATTATTAAGAACATGAACTGTAAGCCAGAATGACAAAACTTTGCACTAGTTTGAGATCAACCCAAATTAAAGCACAGATCAATCGATTTTCTAATAAAATGAAAGCAGTATAAAGAGCAACAACTTCATACTTCCTGCACTGAACTTCACTAAACTGCAGCAGTATAAAGAGCAAAAGGAATAAAGATCACTCAGGAAAGGAAGACACCTTACTGCTACAATTTCAAGTGAGTCAAATGTTGGAGCAACAGGACACCTGATATCCCTCTTGACCTTCACCATGGAGGATCTGATCTGAATTGTTCCTGCGTCAAGCTTAAATTTGACAAGGATAAATTGGTAATGTCTGGTGTCAAATTCAACAGACAAACTGGCATATAGCTTTAACAGCAAACAAATACCATTTATAATGGTTGATACAATTTGATAAATTTCCTTCTTTTGTGGGGTGGTTTTTGTCCGCCGGGGGGGACTGACTAATTGCTTAATTAAAGTAGAGGAGCACTGACTAATTGCTTAAACATCTTCTACAAAACCCAGAACTCTCAGTTGGTTATCACCATTCTCACCATGAAAGTGAAATTCTACACATCAACATGAATCACAGGCAAAGAAATGACAGGACTGCTCAATACAGCAAACCTTGAAAACTAAATGTTGGACCACATTCCTGGAAAAGTTATCCAAAAAGTGGCAACGTAACTGCAAGTATTGTTCTTCTATTCTAATGTAAGATTAGGGTTGTTCAAAGACTGGTGTCATCTTATGTGCAAATCGTTGGATATTCTTTTCTCACTGCAAGGATAATTGTTACATGTAGATAGGAAGAAGCACATATGGGCTTAAAGGAAAACACAAGCAACTCAGAAGGCATAAAAGCCAGACTGTCTCTCTGCAAACCACTTGAGACAGAGACCGAGTGCAAACTTTTTCTGTCCATGAAGATCCCACCAGAACACTCCAAGACCAATATCATGTCACACACAGAAGGCATCACTGTCCTTGTAAACAAGACAAGTGCAAAAAATAATTGGCATTATACAACACTACGAAGAAAAGATAGAAAGTACCTTTCTATTAACAAGAAGTGTTCCCTTGACTGCCAAACCTCTACTGAACAGACGGCACTGCATCAGTAGAGGCTACAACAAAAAGGTAAAAAGAAGAGTTTACAATCATATCCCCACTGAGAGGGGGAAAAAATCAACTGAGAAATTCCCAAAACAATAGAACAAAGAAAGTAATAGACTTAAGCTTGTACCGGTTTCCTATTCCAATCTTCCACTCTTCTTTCTTGATGCAGCACATCCTCAAATTCAACAAAAATAGTCAAGTAAGAAAAGAACAAGTAAATAAAACTTGAAAGACACATAAACAGGTTTAAAAAGAAAGTTCAAGACAAAAACACACTAGGCCACCATAAGGTTGTATTTGAATTAAAGACAAGGCAGTTTATGAGATCAACTCAGCACATTTCCAGGCCGAATACTTCTAGTATGCCATTTGCTCGCCTAGAGGCTTTTGCAGCCATACTATATAATGGTCATCTCTATACTCCAACTCATAGCGCTTTAAAAGTTGTAGCAGTATTAAAAGCCCATGCCATTGCTTTAATTTCTCTTCCCACTTTTCAACCAGGTTCCAAATCCAAGAGTCAACTTTCCCATATGAGCATCTGTTACGTGTATCATTTTGTGGAAGAAAGAATGGTCACAGCTATAAGGATCACCCCCTACCTTGAATCTTAGATGTTTTGGGTTCGCCACAGTTCATTGTGCTTCACAAGCTACTTTCTTTGCTTCCAATTCAAGTTGGAAACCATGAATGTATGCATGATTACATGTTCAACGGAACAACCACATGTATGAAGCTTATGATAGAGTTTACCAGCAGTCACAAGAAGTAAAAACATAGGACAAAACAGAAAAGAACTGCAACATGACATAAAAGGCTCAATAGGATCCTATAATCTTACATGATACTTTCGTTCTCATCTTGAATGTTTTCAATCTTTAATCCATCATTGAAAATCAGTTGCAATATTAATTTGATAATCCCCTTGAATCATGTGCTAACAAAGTGCTGTCCAGCCCTTCTAAACTGGGACACAGTTTCCTATAGTTTTTCAAATTTGACAGTAAAAGAACCATTGCTTGAGCACTACTGAAATTCTGTATCACATCAGCAGAATGATAGTTATCATGTTTTATAATTACCATTATGTAGGCACCCTGCTGGCATAACTAGATAAGGTCGCACTATCCACAAATTCAGCCCACAAGAATTGTCATCTTCAGACAAATCTCATCGCACATTTTAACTACTTCTGATCAATTTAATTGAGAAAAGAAAAAACTGTCTCCCAAGCACTTCTTAAATTTGCTCTCAGGTCAACAACTTAAGACCATCTGTTATCATGGCACTACAGAGTATTTCAGACATGTTTTTCCTATTCAAAATCATCTCTAAATCCTTGAATTCGAATTAAACATTTGGGTGATCTAGACATTCAAACTCTTCATTGTCTAAACAATCTTTTGACCCTAACATAAGGAAGCTAGTCTTTGACCCTTTGAACAATCATTTAGTAAAAGGTGGATACGCTAACAGTTTAGTTTACAAGCATAGCATGTCACCTCAAAGTCGTTATCCTTCAAAAATTTTGCACTGCAAAAATTTTGGGGACACTTCAGAGCTAAATCTTCTGAGATGAAACCAGTTCCATCTGTGAGTACAAGCACTTCTCCATCTTCATCAAGGATTTCATCACCATTTTCATCCTACAATTGATGGAATTTCAATATACAATAAATAATTCTTTAGTAGAAGCAAATTTCTTGTATACAAGCAAGTGATGGCAATGAATGAAAGGAAGCAAATCTTATACACGACAAGGTATATCTTCAATACTCTCAATAACAATGCTAGACAGATCAACAGGAAGTTTAATTGTTTTCGACAATATCAGCGAAAACCTGCATTAAAAGGTATCAAGTGTTACTACTTGCAAGGTTCTAAGATTTGGTCATTGATGAAGTTAAGGAATCTTACCTTGCCATGTATTTTGCCAAGCTAGATACCATGTGGACGTGCATAAAATGGCATCTAGCTTTGTTTAAGTTCGATGGACACAAACTATATGATTCACTATTACCACGAGCAGCAATAGAGTCATAATTAACAAAATAGCATCTAACAGCAGGAGAAAGTGAAGTCTTATCCTTCTCCATCTCCTTTTGTTTCTTGGTACCTTTGCTTTCATCTTTAATAACTGCAAAATAAAGATAAAAAAATACCTAATACTGGTAAGTCATTTAACCTTCCAAAAGATCATATAAGCAAGTAAATTATTATTAAAAGAAAAGTTCAATACTTGTAAGTCAAAGAGAAGACACAATAGGCATTAAGGTTTGGTTGCGTACTTTCAACAGGTATATAATTACCAAGAATATTCTGGGTACAAAGCAGCTTAAAGTAGAGCAATATAATTAACAAAGAAAGCAACAGAGAACATTTAAGCATTTTCTGATCAGGAAAAGGAGGGAAGACCTCACCAAAAAATTGGTAACATCTCAAACCAACAAGGATTCCTTCCTTTAAAATCCTGTCAATACAACTCCTTCCATCTTCAGCAAACTTGACAATTAGTATATTGTCGTCTCCTAATGTTCTTTGCAGATGAGTTGATGTAGTATCCAAACAAGGTCCCTGAACAACACAAATTTAACATATGTGTTACAGCAATAAGAAGACAGATAGAAGCTTCGCTTCCAATTTTAAGATTGAGTATTCAAGTTCATAATGTCATTATGGCAAACATGACACTGTACCACATTGACAGATAAGCCATGATGAATATACCAACCCCCCCCCCCCTCTCCCGGGGCTAAAACACATGCATATATACAATTCAGAGAAGAGAGCTTGTAAATTACCAGCTAGTTGAAGCATTTTTACAGGCTTGCCTGGAACATGAGAAATGAATTGTTTGCCTTCTACTTCATCATTTGTGAAGCAGATCAAATTTTAGACTTGTAGTTTGCCAGCTACTCTTGTTTTCATCACTTGTTTGACAAATAGCCCGTAAAATAATAGACATATTATATTATATATATATATATATTTGAAAATGTGAGGGACAAAATTGGTCTTTCAAATTTGGAGGGGAAGAATCTTATTTCTGGTTTTGAATTGGCCCTCATATAATATGTGCGTGGCTGGGACATGAGACTTTGAGCTTGAAGGTTGATTGGAATTGCATTGTGGGACAAAAATGGTGCATTTTCAAAATTTTAGGGATGATTTTGCATTATTTTAAATGTGGGAATGAGAAAAAAAAAAATCTAAAATAGTGAAGGATGAATTGGGTTAGTTTCCCATGCGTACATATTTGAAATAAAAAATTGACCAAAACACAAGGAAGGAAAAAATTTGACAAATAAATTATTACCCCAACGGAAAATGAGAACATACTGAATTTGTTGTCATGCAATTCTACCCCCCCCCCCCCCAAAAAATTAAAAGAGAAAATGACGGACTTTGCCCCGCGCAGCACATTTAAAACAAAAAAATAAATCTAATTATAAGGACGCAAAACCATGGCCTTGTCACAGACAAGGTGGAAGTACAACCATCACAAAAGTTTGTTTTAGACAAGAAAAGCAAGACAAAATAGTATAGTATTGGGAAAACTTGAAACAAAGAAAATTGCAGGGTGCAGCAAAGCAAGAAAATAGTGCAACTAATTAAACAAATTTTGTTTAAAAAAAAAAAAAAAAACCTTACTAGATGCTTTTCTCTTTATTATTCTACAAACACGAACCTTAAAAGAACAACTTCCATCTGCGTATACGTAACAATAATACAGATGCGTTTTCCCGGTATCCCACTCGGTGCTCTGCAAGACCAACAGATTAAATAGTGATGGTAAATGCTATCAAACTAGCAGAAGAACAACACTGAGAAGGTCTGCTACAAACCAATGTCATTGGTCAAATTGCACCCCGATTACCAAACATGATCTTCTATCAATTTTTCATCCTTGCGAAATTCCAAGTTTACATAATTGAAACACCAAGTTAATTTGTACTCAATGATCAGATGATGACCGTGCAGAAATATGAGCAATTATAAACTGAAAGACATTCAGAATCCCAAAAAAAAAAAAAAAAGGACAGAACTTTGAATAGAAGCTTCACCTGTCTTCTATCAGCAGCTGGAACGTATCGCTTTCCATAAGCATCCCAAATGCGGGATTCAAAATTACCCATCGGGAGATCTTTCATCTCCAAAATTTGGTCTGCATCATCATCACTGACAACATCTTCGAACTTTCTCCTGCAAATGAAACTGGCTCAGTCAGAAACTGCTACAGTGTAAACAAACAGGGTTTAATGCTGGGATTAAAGAATTAACCGACCTTCCAATATAACTGTAAATTAAGAATAGCTTTCTGTACTCCAGTTTACTAGTTAAGAGAGTCCTCTGGTAGCTGAAAACCTCAGGAGTTATCTTCTTCTCATTACGCTCAGGTTCACCAGAAAACTGTAGCTGGCGAGTAACTTTGCTAGCCTTTGGCATTGGTAAATTTGATGATGAGGGTGAGCCCACACGACGGTCCAACTTCTGATAGCCAGAGCTTTCACCATCTGTATATTCATTAAAGCCCGCATCAATCAGACGACATCTCAACAGAGTGGTTCAGACATACATAGCGAATGCAGTCTACCAAAATTGTTCAATGAGTCCACTGTTGACCACAAAGCAAAAAGCATTGGACGTGTTATTGCATGGAAGTTCCACTCACGAGCAACAGATATTTTATAGGAGATTTGGCCAAAATGTTTTTAATTACGCTAATGAAGAAGTAACACATAAAAAAAAACCTCCGAATTTGATAATACGAGTAAGATAATAAGAAGACATTCGAAAGAGTAATGATATTTGCTTGTCTAAATAAATGGCACATTTTGGAAATGATTAGACTCGAAAAGGAGCAAAAAGACTGAAATTTTTTTCGTTCGAAATGAGCACTTTTCCGGGAAATATGGAAATGTAAAAGGAGTTGCTATTAGATTTGAAGAAGCATAAGCAAGTGCCCATCAGATTCGAACCAAGCCTGTTTGCCAAATTAAAGATGACAAGACGGACAAAGTCCAACTGCTGCGAAGAGCTGGAGGCTGTGGCCAAAGTTACACGACAGACAACTCCAACGGCAGCCTAGAACTAAAAGTTCTTCTTTTTATTGTTTTTCTTTATTTCCCCGTTTTTCTTGGGTTGGAGGAAGGCACTTAAAAGAACAAAAAACAAGCTGCATACGAATAAGCAACTAAAACCAAAGGTGCAAAATAACAGGAACCAACAAAACTGCAAGTCGTAAGAGAGTTAAAGAATGTTACTTTGGGGAGATATAGGAGAAGCAGAAGGTGATGAGGGCAAAGGGCGTTTCAGAGGAGAGAAATAGTAAGGAATAGATTCCTCTGGAGCAGCAGTAGCGGTAGCACAAGAGACTTCTGCTACTTGGCTACCACTAGCGCCAGCACCTCCACAGTCTGACTGATTGACCAAATATGTAATGTAACCGCTCAAGGATCGGATGGGGTTCGGGGTATTGTAAATTCTCCTCACAACATCAAGAGCAGCTTCTTCACCCACCCGTGCCAGCTTTTTCCGGGCCAAGTGATCCGGCGGATCATGGTGCTTTTCTGCGCAGATTCTGTTTATTACCTCCTCTACTTTCGGTGGAAGAGGGACTTGACCTTGAAGCGGTGGAGGTGGAGGCGGATGTGGAGGTGGAGTTCGAAAAGGATTGTCCATTGTTTGTTGTGCTGCCGGGAACGAAGATATTTGGGTTGTAATATTCTGATAGTTCTAGTGCTTGCTAGTAGTCGTCTTTGCTACAGAGAAATGTTTTGAAATTGGGAGGGACAGAAGAGACTTTTGAGAAATTGAATTACGGGTTCTAACGATTACTTTTGTCGCACAGGCGTGGCGTAGAACGCATTTCTCCGCTCCTTATATTTAGTTTGTTTGGACGCATTATTTGAAATAATTACTGTAATATTTTTTGTAATGTGATATATGTGAAATAAAAGGTGATTAAGAATATAAAAAGATAGATTGAAAAATGTGTTTATGATACAAACAAAATATTATTTAAAATAATTTGAATATCCAAACACTCTCATTAATATATATATAACAATATGCGGATTGGGAGTGGCACTGGGAACCTTTTAAAAACGCATAGCCCGAACCACACCAAGGGCCTGTTTGGCACCCTAGTTTTTTACCAAGTTTTTTAGCTACTAGTTTTTTAACAACTTTTGCTACAGGAACCCCAAAAAACTTTTCAAAGTTTTTTACCTAAACACTTAAAAAATCTATACACAAAAAATTTCTCAAAAATTTTTCTTCCTCCCTCACCCAACCCACCACACCAGACACCGCCTCCACCACCTCTCCCGGCGCCGATCACCTATTCCGGCGCTGCCGATAACCTCAAAATTTTTTTTTGAATTTTTGAGTCCCTCACCCTCAAAAATTTATTATATATATTATATATTTATAATATTATATATTTATATATTTATTTAAACATATTATAAATATTTTATCTTGTTAAACAAATATTTTTACATATTTATATAAATATTATATACCATATAAATTAATATTAATATAAATATGTAATTATACATTTATATAAATATTATATATTATATATTTAATATATATAATACATATTATATATATTACACATTTATGTATATATATTTATGTATATTTATATACAATTATATTATGTATTATGTATAACATAATACATTTAACCATAATATTAACACACAATATTAATTATACATTTATACATAATAATAATACATTTATACATTTGTATTAATTATATTAATTATATTAATACATTTATACATAATATTATATATTTATATATTTATAATATATTAATTTATATATTTATATAATATTCATTTATAATAATATACAATTATTACATTTGTAAATATATTTATATTATGTATTATATATAATATAATACATTTATATATTTTATATAACTATATAAATATATTTATTTATAAATGTATTATAAATGCATAAATATATATAAATATTTAAACAATAAAAATTATAAATTATAAACAATATTAATTATACATTTATACATTTATATTAATTATATTAATACAGTTATACATAATCATCATATATATTTATAAATTATAATTTATACATTTATATAATATTCATCTATAATATATACATTTATATTAATTATACATTTATACATTTATAAATATATGTATATTATGTGTTATATATAATATAATACATTTATATATTTTTATATAAATATATAAATATATTTATTTATAAATGTATTATAAATGCATATAAATATTTAAACAATAAAAATTATAAATTATAAATAATATTAATTATACATTTATACATAATCATCGTATACATTTATAAATTATAATTTATACATTTATATAATATTCATTTATAATTTATATATTTATATTAATTATACATTTATACATTTATAAATATATGTATATTACGTATTATATATAATATAATACATTTATATATTTTTATATAAATATATAAATATATTTATTTCTAAATATTTATAAATGTATTATAAATGCATAAATGTTTAAAAATATAAAAATATAAAAATTATAAATTATAAAATATTCAAAAATATGTTTTAAAAATACCTTTAAAAATAATCCAAAAAACGTCTACAGTAACTTTTCAAAAACTTCTACAAAAAAGTTTTTCACCTTATAAAAACTTCTACAAAATTTTTTCAAAAACTTCTACAGTGCACTACAGTAAAGTTTTAGACAAACTCCCAAAAAACTCAGGTTCCAAACAGGCCCCAAGATAGACTGTAGTGTCGTCCTTTGAAAGTAGGGATAATTTCAAAAACCTCCTTGAGGTTTTTGACAATTTCATTGACCATCCTTAAGCTTTGAAAAATTATATTAACCTTTCCTGAGGTAAAGATTCTAGTAACAAAATCAGTTCAAATAAAAAAAAATACTTTAAAGAGAGAGATAAAATTTTATTTCAAAAATGCCCTTTATGCATGTGTATAAGTTGTATTAATGAAAGACCAAAAACATATTAATAAAAGTAAAGGAAGGCAAGTGCAAATGGTAAAGAACCAGAAATAAATAGCAACTAACTTTCTCTACAAGGTGGATCAACGGCTAGTGCACTGCATTACAACAACTTTTTTTTTTTTGGTCTTTGCCATTATGCATTTAAAGGCAACAAAGAGCATTAAGATGGATCTTATTTTCACTTGAAGCAGCAAAATTTGAGATAGGAAAATAGTGAGAGTGTTTGGATAGAGTATTATTTGAAATACTATTGAGAATAATTACTGTAACACTTTTTTTAATATGATATATGTGAGATAAAAAGATGGTTGGGAATGTTAAGAGATATGTTGAGAAATGTGTTTATGATACATGTGAAATATTATTTGGCAAAATTGAGCTATTTGTGTGGATCTGTCAAGCTGAGGGTGCTATATAGGTGCAGAAACTATGGTCTCATCAAACTAAGGGACGAATAATGAAATTCAAATATCATAATTGTAGTCATAAGGCAATTGTGAAGATTTTTTATCTTGAAAAAAAATCAGATAAATTATTGTTTGGTGTATCAATTTATGAGAGTGAATCAAAATTTGGTTTATCAATTGGCACCATTTTGTAATTGCAAGCTATTGTGATTAAAGAAATTCCTAATTGCTATTTTCCAAACACTCAAAAAACCTCAAGGCCTTGTTTGGTAGACAAGTTTTTTGCCAAGTTTATCTGCTACAAATTTTTAAAAAACTTTAGCTACAATAAACTCAAAAAACTTTTCAAAATTTTAAATTATACACTTCAAAATATTAAAAAAAATACACTTCAATTTTTTTAAAAAAAAACTTCTACAATAAGTTACAATAAAGGCCCCGTTTGACAAGTGAATTTTTTGAGTGTTTGTCTAAAACTTTACTATAGTTTACTGTAGAAGTTTTTTAAAATTTTTTTGAAGTGTGTAAATTTTTGAATATTTTGAAGTGTATAATTTAAAATTTTTAAATTTTTTTTTTGAAATTATTGTAGTTAAAATTTTTAAAAAACTTGTAGTAAATAAATTTGGCAAAAAACTCAAGTGCCAAATACGGCCAAAGTTTTAGATAAATATAAAAAAGAAATTCACTTGCCAAACGGGGCCCATATTGGGAATGGACTATAAGTCAAGAGATTTGATTTCTGTCTTGTAGCCTAACAAGAAACTCTAAGTCTCTTTTGAAATTTTATATTTTGTGAAATTTTTTTGATTTTCTAAAAAAATTATCCTTGCACATTTTTTTATATTTTTTTCTTTTACTTACAATACACACATCAAATCTCAAATAGTGTATGTTTTTTTTAACAAAGATTTCAAAAAAATACACAATTCAAAGTGGGTCGCCACCCGCTAACTCCGCTAGATGAATTGGTTTAAAGCGAACTGAAGCCAGAAAGACGCATGGCAAGTAAAGCAAAGTGCACCGGTGTACCTTTCGGAATGGAAAGAAGCCAAAAAAGTAAAGGAAAAAGCTACTAACATAACACGTCAATCATAGGACACTTTCCTGCTCAAGAGTCAAGATTCTGTGGAAACATCGTACCTCTGAAAGCTCATCCACCAGTGTGCAGTCAGTTACTTCGTCTCCAAGTGATTACTGGACGGTCTTGATTTCTTCTCGTGCTTTTATCCTTTGTCCGGACTCAATGCACTGGATTTAGTACAGTAAAGAAAAGTTCAAAGATGACAAGAAATCGCATGGAAATGCGTGTACATCCATAGATAAATCGCATATGAGCATTGCAAAGAAGGTTTAAAGATGACAGGAAAGTGCAGCCTGTCTCCACTATATATGGATAAGGGGCAGGGACGGTGGACCGTCCTGAGCGGTTAAGGGCCCAGATAAAATGTGATTCAGATCACTAGTTATATATTAATTTTCATAATATGTGTGGAATTCGTAAAATTTTATACTAAAGTTACACGTTATACAAATAAAGTTACGATGTGTGCAATCAAAATTACGTGCTGTTAAAAATGATCAAAATTGCCAGAAACAGTTGCACCTGCAACCGTTCCTGCCCCTTGTCTACTATATATATAAGCGTCCCCATATCTACGTAAATGACTGACAGAATAGATAAAGATTAAGAACATCCACAACGCAGGTGTAATGGCTCCCCGTTACACCGTTCCATGACACGATTTCCCATTGGAGTCGTGTCATGGAGATTACATGAATCATGGATATGATGCATGTAATCCATGATGCTGTGGGACTCATAATCATTTTATTGTAATCCCATTATTATTATTTGTATTTTATTTGATTTAAATTATGTAATATTATGTTATGGAGTTCAACTAATTACATTTCGAATTATTAATTAAGTATGGATTATTATGATATCTTCGCATTTGAGGTATCAAATATTTGTTTAATTTTTTGCATAATTATTTTTGAAAAAATAACAATATATTATTTTTGAGAGATAGAAAAAGATATATTATTCAAACTTAAAAATTAATAATATCATTTTTAGAAAATAAAAAATTCAAAAGGTAAAAAATTTAATGAAAGTTAGTACTTTATTTTTTAAAAGTAACAAAATTATTTTTAAAAATTACTTTTTTATTTATGGGATATGAGTTATGCATTATTAAAATAAATATTTGATTTAATTGTGGATCCATGCTATTACTTTTTGAGAGATAGAAAAAGATATATTATTCAAACTTAAAAATTAATAATATCATTTTTAGAAAATAAAAAATTCAAAAGGTAAAAAATTTAATGAAAGTTAGTACTTTATTTTTTAAAAGTAACAAAATTATTTTTAAAAATTACTTTTTTATTTATGGG